CAACATAGAGCTAAACAAGCTCGAATCAGCATAGTAACAAAAAACAGCCTCGGAAGCTCGACGACAAGCACAAATTGTAACCACAAAACCCAACATCATAGAGCTAAACAAGCTCGAATCAGCATAGTAACAACAAACAGCCACGGGAGCTCGACGACGAGCACAAATAGCAACCAAAAACCCAACAACATAGAGCTAAACAAGCTCGAATCAGCATAGTAACAAAAAACAGCCACGGGAGTTCGACGACGAGCACAAATAGCAACCAAAAACCCAACAACATAGGGCTAAACAAGCTCGAATCAACATAGAAACAAAAAACAACCACGGGAAACACCCAACATCCATCCAACAACACCAACCAACCAACCAACCAACCAACAACACCAACCACCAATTAGGAAACACTAACCAACCAATGAACCAGGAAACACCCACTAACATCCAACAACACCAACCAATCAACCAACCAACATCAACCAACAATCCCGAGCACATTTAATCAGCATCAAATTTTAGCAAAGATTAGAGGACAATATGCAAAGAAACATCAACTAGACTGGCAAAAGGGGAAAAAAGGACTATAGTTAAAATTCGACAGTTTGGTGACCATAAAATTGGTGTAAATCGTTTAAACCGGTCGAACTGACCAAAATTTAACAGTTCGGTTTGGTTTTAAAATAAATTTAGGTCGGTTCAATTTTAGGATATTTGAAGCTGAAATAATCTAACAGATCACTCTCAATATATTTGTCCCAAACCTACATTTTTTACGTTATTTAAAGTGTTGTATCATGTAAATCACCAGGTTTAATGAGCCCTTACAAGTTGGCCGTGTGTGTCATATTAAAAGACCGAGTCAAATCATCTGAAAGTTTGACTCAGGAGTGAGCACCGCAATTCTCTCTAACAGTCTAAGTCTTAAGATGAAAGACATCAACAAGTTGGGATCTATTAAATAAGTCTGAATCCGAGACAAAAGACGTCTTCTGATCGGACTCCATTGGAGAATGCCTTGGAAGACAGAATGACCTATCAGTCTCACTAAAACCATTCACATTTAATGCATAGCTAGTCGGTGCTCATACTTTGCCACCATGTCGTCATCGCATTAAATGCATGGCCAGAGTCATAACGACTTCTCGAGCTAAAGTCATAACGCCTCATTCAACGTTGCCCGCACTTACACCATTCTATCACTATCGCATTAAAGCTGTCGATGCGTGTAAAGTAGAGTTTGATCACTGACTCCACTGGCTAGGTCGAATTACCAACGTGCCCCCACAATTTCTCTAAAAATAGCGCAGAACCCCACTATACTAAGGTATGTTGAACAAAACTCTAAACTAGATTCTACATTCTAATAGTTTGTTTTATCTATCACTTACTTAAAAGTTGGATGACACGTCGGGGAAATATCTTTCGACCCACTAACGAGTGTTATCTTTGTAGGGTCTGCTTCCCTTAGATTAATTAGTCATCAGAGAGAATTAAGGGATACTAAACTCCTTCAAAATCCTCCCACTCATACAATTAACTTTCTAACATGTACAAAAAGTAGCTTTTAACTAATATTTTTATGTATATTTGTTGCTAAAGCTTTTGTATTTATTTGTAAAAATAGTTGATTTGATGAGTTTGCCCTTCAACTTATGACATGAGATGAATGAGAAGATGGAGGGAGCAAGTGTGTTCATTTTCTAGTTAAAATTGCTCTATTTGACATGTCTAGGCTCAAATAGAACAAATCAAAATGAATCGCACCAAACCGATTTACATCGGTTCAGTTCTATTTCAAATATAGTTTAGCTTAAGTTGGTTTAAAAAAAATACAAAACCAACTGAACTCATAGTTTGTTAGACTTGTTAACAAAGCTATAATAGTTATTTTTGCGCCGTTGATGATACGCAATGTATTGGATTTAAGTTTTCTTTAAAATATCAGGCGCAAATCAAGTACTACTATAATTTTGTATCCATTCTTTTTAGGATGATTTAACTCGCCCCAAATGCCCATAACACGAGTTGTTTAAAATTAAGTAATACATAAATGTGTGTCATCCTGCTATAATTTTACATCCATTCTATTTTAGCCTGAGATGGCTAGCTCGTCGTAAGATACGAGTCTAATTAAAGCGTGTGCTAGGCACAAATTTATAGGACTCATCCGTGTGCAAAACACTATTTTTTTGATTTTAGGGCCCGAGTTGTTCTATCCGGCCGGAGAGAGTACCCAGTAACAACAATCTATAGTATTTAATGTGTATCAAATAGAAGTGAATCATTAGACCTATATAAAAATCTCAATACTCAATAGAAAAATTCCTTAAAGACCCAAAATATGGGACCAATAGGGGAACAAGTGATGTGTCCCCCTCCTATTGGATAATGAGTTGAGGGCTGTTTGTTTTGTTGTTTTTGAGAGGTTTTAAGAGTGGAAGCTGACATTTTATCAGAAAATGTCAGCTTTTCACCAAAAAACGCCTCTCACAGAGGCGTTTTTGGGTGAAAAGCTAACATTTTCTGACAAAATATCAGCTTTCCACCTTTAAAAAAATTGCCCAAACGCGCCATTGGCCATCATTAATGATGACCAACTCATTATCTAATAGGAGGGGGACACCTCACTTGTCCCCCCTATTGGTCCCATATTTTGGGTCCCTGTAGCAAAGCTCTACCCAATAATCTAACTGTCAACATCCTTTCACTATCACATCATATCATACTTTCCTTAAAAGCATGAGTTTATGAAAAGATTTCGGTAGACAAAAATACCATTGAAACTTAAATACTAATCCATAGACCTTAATTATCTAATCTCGCTTCCATTTAACTAACCTTCAATCAAAATCTAAACTCCAATATCTAATCTCTTAAGCTTCCGTTTAACTAACTAACTTTTGTCTTTTGATATCTAACCCCGCTTCCATTAAGGGCCCGTTTGGATAATGGAAGTATTGGAAGTAAGAAGTAAGTTGCGGAAGTAACTTCCAAAACTATGAAATAGGAAGTAGCGAAAATAGCAATTTTTTTGTTTGTTTCATATATTTTTAGAAGTAATGGAAGTAGAATTTCTTCCTCTTCATTTACTTTTTTTGTTTGGATAATATTTAAAAATATTACTATGAAGTAATTAATACATGTTACTTCCATTTTATTCTTGTTTGGATTGTCATTGAAATAGAAATAGAAGTATTATAACACACAGTATTCTTGCTGCAATGATATTGAAACATAATTGATTGCTTGCCGTCGTAATTGTCGGAGACTCGCAGTACAATTTTGCTACTATATATGGCAAAATTTGATAATGAAATATGATTTTTCTAACGGGTGCCTATAGGCACTTACTAGAGGATGATTATCTATTAGATTTTGCAAGCTTTATACTTTCTTTTAAAGCATCACATATATTTTTACTATACATGTATCATACTGTTTTCTTCTTATTATTGTCTTTATTTCTAATTTATGAATTTCCATTAAAACAATATTTCCAATTTATGAAGGGAAAAAAAATCTTTTATATATGTCACATGTTCAACAGAAAAGTATGTCGTTCATCAATTTTAATAACAATATTTTTTATATCTACGAAAGCAAAAAAATGCATGAACGGCATTCATCAATTTTAATAATAATATTTTTTATATCTACGAAAGCAAAAAATGCATGAACGGCATCACTGTCATAATTTTTTTTTAAATATTTATAAAAAATATTTTATGATTACATATCAACTTCCACCGTAATTATGATTTTGAGAATCTTTTTTCTTTCGTGGACCCCACCCTACATCAACTTCCGTCGTATTTCAGTGCATTTGAAGACGGAAAAATATCAAGGAAATAGAGGTGCCACGTAGACGCCACGTCAGCTTTCAATGAAGTAGCGGAAGTAGTTTTTACAAAGAAACAAACATACATTTTTGCCAAGAAGTAGCAGAAGTAGCCTCTACTTCCTCTACTTTTGCTATTACATAGTTACTTCTGTGCAAACAAACGGGTCCTAAATGAACGTCGTACTAAAACCTTCACAAATATACCCACGTAATCTGATAGCATTAATTGAAGACAAGAAACCGGTCGACCAATTAAGGGTAAAGTATTATCAAGGAATCCTTCTCTTTTTGATCTTTCGATACTTTTTATGTGTAGGAAATGTCATTTATACTGTGTTGTGTTTTTTGTGCTTGCAATTGTTTTCTAATTTCTTCAATTTTTTGTGAATGATATTTGGCTGTAGTTTTTTTAAATGAATCAACCTGTTTATTTGATAGTTTGTTTGCTGTAGATTTATAGAATTCTTGTGATAATTTATATTGATAGTAGAATAATTGCCATATGTGAGGCTCACGAGCCTTGGTTCACCCTTCTGGCCATGGTTGTGATCTTAATGGAGTTTTGAGAGAAAAGAGACAGAGAATTAAGGGAGATGTGATAGAGAAATTAGAGAGAGAGTTAAAAGAGAAGATTAAGAGAAGGTTGTAAACTGAGAAGAAGAAGAATCTTTTTATTGTTCAACTTGCTATTTGATCTTTACATTTCTCCTTTTATACAATCATCATGAACTCAACACGTGCACACACTAACGTCATCTTCAGCTTCCAAGCCTCGTAATAGAACTAACAAAACAACCAACAAAACTAACTACAGGGCTAATAGAACTAACAGAACAACCAACAGAACTAACATTTGCCCGTTAGCCCTTTAACTTTGCGTATCAGTCCTCCAATCTTCATGTCCTCATCTTCAACTTCCAAGCCCTCGTCTACCAAGCTCTCGACTGGTTCCGGTCAGCTCCCATCAGCTCCAGCTTCATCAGTTCCAGCTCTTGACACCATATAACCTATTGTTCAGTTTCATTATGTGTACATAATAGATTTATAAATATTTTAAAATTTCAAACATACCGTGCTTCGCACGGTGTACAAACTAGTGTATATATAAAATACCACCGGGGCATCAGATGTTTTCTCGCCTTATTGGGCCTAATTTATGATCTTTTAGACGTACAGGCTTTTGAAATCTCGCCTAAAGTCACCGCAGTGACCGCGACCTCATCCTCTTTCTTCCTCAAAAATCCAACCCAAACTCGCTTCATCTCTTCCCCCTCAACTACCCATCGCCATGGCGTCCCTCTCAATCTCAGCTCCCTTCAAGGCTTCAACCGCCCCCTCTTCAACCTCAAGGAAGCCCCCAAATCCCGCAACCTTCTCCTTCAAACCCTGCCCTCTCAAGATCAGCGCCTTCGCTTCTCCATCTTCTCCCTCGAAGCTTGTCTCCCACGCCAATAGCTCAGGTCTAGGGCTACATTCAGGACTGGGCCTGGGGTTTTCTCCATTCTCGTCGTCTCCTCAGACGCCGGCGACGGCGATGAGGGGAGCGGAGGGGGACGTCATGGGCCTGCTGTTCAGAGAGAGGATCGTGTTTTTAGGGAACCAGATTGACGATTTCGTTGCCGATGCGATTATAAGCCAGCTTCTTCTTTTAGATGCTCAGGATCACACTAAGGACATCAGGCTCTTTATCAATTCTCCCGGGGGCTCTCTTAGGTATCATTTCTTTTTTTCCCTCTAAATTTGATGCCGTAAAGAGTTGGTTTTTTAGCTGGAGTTATAAGTTGCAT